TTAGATCATATGATTCTGCTTTAATACTTTGATTAGACACAATTTTTATCATCCTGTCAATGCCCCAAGGCAGCTGGATATGAGCATCTTCTTTATATGTTCTCTGTAGGACTTGCAATATAGTTCATGCATAACGTTCTCTTGGAGAGACACATCAGAAGGAAAGTGGAGTGAGAATAAGTCTGTCTACAAAAGACTGTGCTAATAACCTCTTAAAATTTAGCTTAAAAACTAGAAAGCCAGAAGCAGACTCCATACAGATATTACAGAAGTCCCTCTACCGGGGGGAAATATGCATACCTGGAGCATATATTAATTTGGTTGAAAGCCAACATAGCAGTAAGTAAACAATAATATATAGTTACCTGAATTCCAAGACACATGGCATTAAAATATCCTATTTTGATTTTAAAAGAAATTATTTGCTAAATAATACTTGCTGTGGTTGACATTTGCTAAGTTTCTGTTGCAAATAGGAATTATGAGTCAAGTTTTTAATGAGATTTATTTCATTTGTCTGTTCTTATTGTTGGCAGAATTTAATTTTAAATATATTTAGTCATTCAGATACCTTTCTGAACTGAGTCTGGTGTCTCATATGCTTCTGGCATTTCATTCTCTAATTCTCTGAGCAAGTCATCTGTTGTAGGAGCTTCAAAAGTTTCTCCATGTATTTCTTCCTTCACTCGCCACTGGTCATTTACACTTTCATCTACATCTTCATGTCTCTCTCCTAATCAATAATACAGATTGTTAGAGAATAGATACTCTTTGGTAAATTCTATTACCAGCACATATTCAGTCTTCAGCACACCCTTTCAGTTTTTCAACTAGTCCCCAAAAGGGATGAAGAGGGGAACAGATGTCTTGTCTGCACCTTCCAACAGTATAAACCCAAAACATCTGCACTGACTTGCCAGTGCCTTCTTTGCTCCTGGAGAAAACCACAGTAAAACCCATGTCTGTCTACCCATTCTTGCACTCTACACAGTATTTTGAAGAAATTTTGTCAACTGACTGATTTGAGCTACTGCTGCCGAACACCTCTGGGTAAGAAGCCACAGTTTTAGGATTTGGTGACTGAACTTTCTGAGTTTTCTCTAAAATAACAAATTAGCTGATTAGAATGTTTTGTGCAGGCAAAAGTACTTTAAGTGCACACCAAAATCAGACTCTGAGATTTGTCTGACCTATGGCAGTATTTATATATTCTTCAGTGATTTCTAAGTGTTAATGCATTACCAGGCTGGGAATGGAGAGCTTCATGAAGAACAGACTGAATTTCCTCTTCTGGTTCTATGTCAGCATTCTTGTGCTCTAAAAGGGTTATAAATTGCAGTGAAGGTAAGTGCAAAAGGCAAAGTTTAAAGACTAGCTCAAGGCTTGCAGCTTTAAGTAGCCTCCATAAAGTTCCATAGAGATTAACTTGGTGAACCTCTGCAACTCACACAATTACAAAAACAATTTGGTTATACTTACTCTCCAGTATGGAAAGTATTGCAATCACATCAGATTCATTCTGAAGATTAATTAGAAGAATTTATCTACACTGCATTTTCTGCACATATCTTTTTCTCAGTGGTAGTAACATTAATAACTTCACATAACTATTCAAACCAAGAATTCTCTTCTAAGTAATTCTTTTACTAACACTTTCATCCATTACTTTCCTACAATTTAGGCAGCAGCACTAGCACATCATATGTGACAACAAAATTTCACTCACAGAAGTAGGGTTTTTTTGGCTTTATAAAAGGGAAAATAGATACCAGCATTACAATATCAAGGTCAACTGCCTCTCCTGGCAATTCATAGCAGAATAAATCACACACTGATTTCAGGGACAAGTGATTGTCATCTAACACACCAGCCAGGACATAACAGGAATTTGTATGAAGTATTGCCTTCATATAAATGTCCCAAAATTAGCATTGAGAAGCTCAACAGCACCAAACCAAATCACAGCTGCATTTTCAAATAAAGATCCAAAGTGGTACAATTTGGGGGGGTGGGGGGAAGAGGAGGAAACGACATTTTAATTTGGTATCTTTTATAAATGATAACTTAAGAAAAGAAATGCAAGTCTTAAAAATAAATTTTATGTTCCATTTTATTGACCATAAGCTCCACATTTGTGGGTTATTGTGTTAGGTTCACATAAACATGAAGTAGGATAAGTCTGAAGGAACAGGAAGAAATATGTACTCTCTGAATAACACTAAAATGCAAATCACATCTGAAATCTGATGCATTTTTTTTTCTTGAATTCCTATTGAACCTAATAAATTTTACTAATACTTATGGGGCTTTTAAAATGTTTATATGATTTTTTCAACACTAGATGCTGTATTCATGTTATACTACTGGTTTTAGCAGAAAAGTGAGTATCTGATTAGTCTTATGAAGTTATTGTTGGGGTTTTTTTGTTTGTTTTTAAGGTGGAGAATCTGCTGTTATTCTGACTGGGTATACTGTTGCATACTTATCAAAACCACAACTGTGCATCAGCAGAAAGTTATTCTGATGTGACATGGTCCCAATGGTAACCATGAGAGCTGACAAAGAGTGCCTTCCATACATTTAAACTACAAATTTTTCATGGTCAGTGATTTATGGAAAGTTATCAACAGTGATTCCTGATAAATAAACTGCAGTGGATAAGCAAAACATAAAATTGATGACAGATTTATCTTTCAACAAAAGGAATAACACAGTAAGTTTGCATGCTAAGAAAAAAAAGGAATTGGAATTCAAATGAAGCATCATATCTTTTGTTTCACCTATGGTTTACGAAAGGCCTTACCGGATTCGACATACGACTTCTCAGCAGGCTGGATGGTCTCTTCAGATTCTGGTGGTGGCTGTGCTGGGACAGATCTTTCTTTAAGGCCTGCATTTTTCAGTTACAAAGTTAACTTTATGCTCTTTTTGATCTGATTCAATTATAAACTAAGAAAGTTGTTTCAACTAAATTAACTGATGTTAAACTCTCCAAAACATATTCAAACAATCAGTCATAATTACAGGGCTGTCCTGATATACAGTGATATATACAAAGACTAAAGTGTATTCAGATAGTAGACATCTATGTTTTGAAGACAAACATATAATGAAGGGGAAAAAGGGACAGAAATTTAAGCACTTGCCTTTATTTCAAAGTAACTGAACAAATGACTATGCTATTCTCATCTATTCAGTATCCAGAAGAACAACAGGTGGCAGGTTTTTCTCACTGTTTCTCTCTTTGCGCAAAAAGTGCTTCATATGATCAATTTTTTATATTTTATGAAGAACTAATTTGAACTTTGTAACATGCTGCTCGGAATGAGACAGGTTATTTTAAATTCATATGTTAAATCTTAGAACATCTGATGAAGAGAAGAGTAGTTTCTTCAAAATAAGGTAATCTCAATCTCCAGTTTGTTTTGACAACTAAATTACTGTAGAAAGAGTATGACTGATGGAATTTCACCACTAACATGCTTACTCTCTGTACCACAGAGTCATTCCAGATCAAACCACAGTGAAAAGAAAGCAACCAATAGCAGCAATGACGAACACCATGGTAAGAGATAAAGATAATTCATAGCCTTGAAATATTATGCCACATCTAAAGACACCACATCCTCAAGAAAGAATGTATTTATATTAGCCTAATCCTCAACTATCCTTTACAAAGTATTCAAGGAAGATATAAACAAGGGAGGTTCAGACTGGATATAAGAAAAACATACACACACACGCACCCCCCACATACCCCACCATGAGGACAGTCAAACCAGTGGAAAGGGCTGCACAGAAAGACTGTGCATTCCCATCCTCAGAGGTTTTAAAGACCACACTAGGTAATGGCCAGCATAACCTAGTCATACCTCTAAGATGATCCTGTTTGGAGCAGGATGTTGGAATAAGGATTTCCAGAAGTCCCTTCCACACAGAATTCTCTCCTATAATCCTATGTCATTTTTCCTAGGTTCATATTTAACTATAAGCTCCAAGGTCAACTGAGATAAAAATACCTTCTTAAATAAACACACACTGCCCAAAACAGACTAGTTTCTCAAGAGCTGTATGCACAGAGATCAGTAGAAAAATAATATTTAGGAAAGCAGAGGCTCTACTATAACGAACAGACCTGTACTGCTAACTATCTTGTAAAAGTAACTTTAAGTGGAACAATCTAAGTATTACATTTCAAGTCAGTAAAGTTTTTTTAAAAAGCAATTGCCAGGTTTCTACTGGAGTCAAACATACCTAGATACAAATAGGACTAGCATGCCTCAAACAACTTTGTGTAAAAGAGAGATATTTTATTATTTTAAGCATAGTGAGAAAACCACTTATATTCCATTACCCTGCATGAATAACAGGAACAGGAGTAAAAGAATTAACCCTACTTACACTTTTTTATATGAGGTAAGTTACATGAAGATAAATAGTGAGGCTGTATCTAGAAGCACTGTAACTAAGAGTCCACTACTATGGAGTCAAGATCAGAAGGTAGAAGAAAAAAGCCAAATTTACACTTCATTTTTTGCCAATTTTCTTCTGCATCATTAAAAAAACCCTGAAATATTTAAAAATATGAATGTAAGTCTTAATAATCTTTTGCTACAGTCTTTTAGCCATTAATATTACTAAGAAGTTAGTTCCTTCTATAATCATCTTTAACCACATATGGAGATAAAACCAGTTAGTTGTATGAGCCAGTGTCTCACGCTTCAGAATCTGGAAGCATAGAAACAGCCACCCTGCTTTCACAAACACACTTCACTTCCCTTACATATACACCTCTTATTTAAAGTCCTCACACCCTCCGATAACTCACATCTCCAATTCCAGACAACCACTTGCTCTGCTTCATGAACAATAAACGGATACAAAGTATTTCAGAAGATATTCAGTATTTCACAGCCAACAAGCACTTAGGGTGTGTTAAAGGAAAGAAGGGTATTTCTTTGTTTTGCTTGCACATTTCTCACCTTTTTTTCAGGCTTCTTATACATATCTATCATGTCATTATCACTGATTCCTATTCAAGCATGTTGAGTACGTAATATATTAAGTCATTTACTTTTTGAAAGATTCTATTTTCTCTCATCTTTCTATCAAAATAAAGTTGCACTCAGTTTTTACGTGTGGTTGTTTTTTTGAGCTTATGTGGTAGCTCGCCACGTTAAGCTGAATGCCAATATTTCAGAGAGATATACAACAGCAAAAGAGATCGCCAGGGAAAAAATCTTGTTTTATTGTGTGGCTAGGTGTATAGCTTGGAGTGCTGCTCAAATAAAATGTTCTTTGGGGAAAAAAACCAAAACAGCAAACAACTTTTTTAGCATCAGATAAAGTTTGGGTCATAGGTACAATAATATGTTAATCAGAAAGGCAACTGATTCCAAATTTCACTCCCAGACAGATACAACTTCTGTCATATTAGGGGAGAAAATAAAAAAGTGATGTGCACTATACCACTGTGTCGCCATTCTTGAGAAGTGTCATTTGAGTGCTCCTCTATCAAGTATGTATCTTAACACCTACCAGAGCAAAGATGAATAAACATGTCTATCATCACAGCAACCTAAGAAGAGAATGCATCACACAAGTGCAGATCTTCATTCTGTCAAGTTCTTTGCTAAGCACTATAATGTTCTGAATGCACACATCTTTTTCCCTCCTTCTTCACACATAAATAAACACTCAGAAAACAGATCAGTGTACCATCCCTGTTCATTATCACAGCTAGAATCTTACGCTACTGTACAATTTTCTATGGCTTTCATTTGAACTATTTTTCGTAAGTTTCCTATAAAAAAAATTCAGATTATATTTTACCCTTCATTATCACAGCTAGAATCTTACGCTACTGTACTATTTTCTATGGCTTTCATTTGAACTATTTTTCATATAAAAAAAATTCAGATTATATTTTACCCCATTACCATATCTTATACCTCTAGGGATCAAAGCGTCTTACAGAGACATGTATGTGCTGTATCAGAAGTCTGAGGTAAGTGTATATTGCCAACTGTTTTACACCAATATATAAGCAAAACCAGAAACAGAATCAACCTTCAGGACTTTAATCTTACGCCACCACCAACATGCACATACTCATGCTCAATTTCACTCCTTAGTTTTGTTTAATACAATACTGCAGTATTACAATAATAAATCTTCAACTTTCATTACCAATTTTATTCTTGTGCAATTTTATTGTGCAATTAATATTTCAACATACTAAGTGATATTATTTGTCTAGTAAAATTAGATAATATTCTTTTTCCACATAAACTTGAAAGCAAGTATAGATTCAATAACATACTGAAATATCTCTGAAGAAATGTTTTGCCATCTTTTTTATTCTAATGGGACTGCTGGATAAGCCATTCCTCAGTACTAAAAATACAGAAGCTATAAAAGCAAACTAACACAGCAGCTTGCTTACAGAAGTATCACATATTTCAAAAGTATTGTTTGAAGAAAGTAATAGTTGTAAAAATACATAAGCTGTTCTCTAATCAAGTTCAACCAGAATACAGTAGTAGTAGCATATCACTTCTTAAAATGTGATTGGAATCCAACAATACCCATCAATGGTGAAATAGGTGGCCTAAGTTTCAGAAGTATCATTACCAGAAGCTTTGAAAACTGGAAAAAAATCAGGACACAATAAACTGGAAAGTGACAGTGAATCAAGTTTTCAGACTTAAAAATAGGTACAAAAAAAAGAAAGGAAGAAAGAAAGGACAGAAGAAAAGGAGAACATATTATCATAGGATCAATAAACGAAAGTGTTACAACAATTTGGTTGAGTATACACCGAAGTCTCATAAATAAATGCAACACTAAAGTTGGTTTGAGTGTTTGTGTATAAGAGTTTTCTCAGTCTACTCATGGAAAAAAGTTTAGCAGGGAATAACTTACATTTATTTACTAAGTTCATATGACAATACGTTCTATTAATGCTCCTCTTAGATGTTTTTGTGAAACAGAAATATTTTTTGTGTGTTTCTACTGTATGTGTCCAGATAATCCTCTTAATAACTTGCTTTTAAACTTGCATTTGATATACAACATTACACTTTCATCTCCACATCAGGAAAATAGCATTTTAATACAAGGAAACAAAGAAGGGGGGAAAAAAAAGAAAAAAAAAGAACCCAAACCCAGATTTAGACTATGCTTGAAGTAATTGGCATCAATTTGACATTTGTGTTTTCAATACACATTGCTAGTCAGGCATATTAACATATGTACATATTTGAGTTTCACAGCAGACATTTTTGCTTTGTGTTTACAATGCCAGTACACACTTAACAGTTTTCAAAAAATGATTATATATAGCCTTTGTTCACACTTATTTCCAGAAAACATTATTTTCATACTGCCATGTTTACCACATTCATATAAATATGCTGAATTTCTCATTCTTGAGGTCTGGTCCTCATTAGCGCAACCAGAACTCTGTTTATTTCTTTTCTTTCTTGTCCTCCTTGGATGGGTTTTTAACTATCTTTTTTGTTTCTTTGTCTTTTCCCACCTGAGTAGTACCATCCTTTTCACTGGCTGATTTTTTTGCAGCCTCCTTGGATTTCACATTTTTGTCTAGGCTTTTTTCCTTTTCCTTTCCTCTGTCTTTTTTAGCCTTGTCAGGATCTTTCTTTAATTTATTCACATCAACAGCTTTCTTGTCCTTTCGATCAGTAGCATCTTTTCCTTTCCTGGCTTTCTTTTTTCCTTCCTCATCTTTGATTTCCTCCTTCTTGGATTCCTGCTTCTCCTTTAATTTCTTGAGCGGTTCTTTAACTGCTTCTTTTACTTTTTAGTTTTTCATTTAAAAAAGAGGAAATGTTCAATAAGAGAGCCATTCTTACATCAGAAAACATCTTCAGAGCAGCTATCTAAAAGCTTTCATCGAATTCTTACTTAATGTTAGATGCCAATTTAAACTAGTTTAATTAACTATTTAAGCTTTAAGCCATTTAAACAAATTAGTTCTGACTTTTAGCAATATCTCACACCATGCATCCAGCCAATACTGCAACGGCATCCAAATAAAGCATTAATCTAGTGAAAACCATGCCTCTATTATCTTACTGTTAGCTAACTTCTGCAGAATGCTAAAACCAGTTTTGTCTGTGAGCATGAAAATCACAGTAAATTTGGCATCTTTGACAACAGTATGACCACTGTAGGAACTACAAATGTCAAGAGCGTCACCCAAAGGATTTTTTTTCAACTTCCTGTCAACTTCCTAAAACTACAAATGAAAACGTTATAGCAACACAGATGTATACTACCACATTTTACTGACATTACCTCCAATTACGCCAAAACTTAAAAATGTATCTTAAATATCTATTTTACAAAAATAAGAAATAAATACACCATAATTAAGAAGAAAAAGTGATGCCCTGGTGAATTAAATCAACTCCAAAAAAGTTAACTTGTTTGACCATATTAAGAGAAATCAAAGTAACAATCGTAAATGAATTCTTGCATCTTTGCTTTTCCATATGTAGTGTTACCAGTAATGCTCTTTTATTTGTTTTACTTTTGGAGTTGTATCTCTATTTTCTTCATTTCAATTCACATTTGGCTGTGACACAGTATCTAGATAATGCATCAGAAGAAGTCAGAACGGCATCCCTGACATTTAAATATTCAGTATTTACTTCCACTTTGCCCCAGTTTCAAAAAACACTGTCAATACCAGCAGCATTCTCCAGAAGAAGGAATTTTTATCTCAATAAAATATAAATTTTTTTCCATTTAATCTCTGTATGCAGTATTTGTATTTAAAATTAATATTCCCACATATTAAAAAAGCAATAGTGATTTTATATATAGAATACAACAGCTCTATTTTTATTCAGACTTTTGAGAGAAGCTGCAGTCTGTTGAGGTAAAAAGCAGGCAAGTGACAACATTCTCCTGTAACGTCTGCCTCTAATCACTGTGTAACATTCCTGGGAGTGAACAATTCAATCACACAGCTCGGTCTAAAAGGAATAATATCATGGGTCCTTCCAACTGTTTTTGTGGCATAATGCATTTGAAATATATCATACCATTCTTCATTCTCATGTCAAATACTGAAAAATCCAAAATAATCCAAAACTCAGGAACGAATTGTTAAATGACATTTATTACATTTTTCGAAACACACAATTTGCAATTATGTAATACCAAGCACAACGTGGAACAAATGCTAAAAATTTCAACCTGCATGCAAGATGCTAAGAAAAGTCACATTCATATGAGCATGAGAGCTTCCCTCAGCAAATGCACTTTTTTCCTAGTGAGACTTCGTATTACAAACAGTGTGCATTTTTCACATACTGCTAGAAAAAACACATTAAAGTCTAAGTGTCTTTAACGCAACAAAGAGACTGTGTTCTTTACGTAGCACCATGCTGTGTGGAGATAGCTGAGCACATCTAAAAAGTTAATCACCTGAAGTACACCTGGTAGTTTGGTGTTTTGCTGAGGCTAATTTACTTTTTTAGTCTCTCTGTTGCACTGAACACATTTAGACCATTATGTCCTGTTTATACAGCAACATGATTATAAATACATATATGGCATAAATCAATTGCAAGCTATCCTACTTTAAGCTTTTGGAAAATTTGTAAGTATCGTCACTGCAATCAGTCCTGCAAATCATATTAAAGGGAAAGTTATCGACCTTTACCTAAATGTGTCCTCCCATAAGAAAGAAATTTAAGTACAGACTTAAGCAGAAATTAAGGTGCTCAAGCCCAATCACAATATAGTAATAGTATAATGAATTCATGAAAAATAACTAAAGGAGGATTTCACACAGACCAAAATCTGCATATACATCAGAACTTCTTTTTAAACACGCAGAATATGAAGTTAACACAACTACTTACAATCCAAACAAGACAACGGTTGTAAAAACTTTGCTCAAACAAAATATAATCTCTAGTTAGGGAAGCACTCACATTGCCATTAAATTACAATCGGTAATAAAAAAACACTTACTGAAAAATGGCAAGGAAAATAGTTTGCTGCACCATTAGATAACTCTTAGTCAACATAGCTTGTATTAGTAAACATTATTATAACCTGCAATCTGTATTCGCACTGCGCATGCATTTCAGACATCATTATCTGCAGAAAGTTCCACAAGAAAAAGAACATTAAAAATACCTTTGACTTTAGTTTTTTTCTTGGCTACCCCTCCTGGCTCCTCACCTGATTTGTTGCAAAATGGAAATAGGTTACGAACATATCTGTGATGTTCAACAAACATGACACAACATTTTCCAGTCTGCCATGCCATGTAAAAAGTTATCTGTACATAGCACACTGCAATGCTATGGAGAAATACCAAACGTTAACTCATTATGAATGAAGCATCTTCAGTGGCAAGATCCCCACAAGTACTGAGATGGAAGACTAATTAATCCAAGAAAAGTACCACATTACCAGACGCACACTACTTGGGATGCTTGGTATGCTCTCTCCAGACAGCGTGATACTGCGTAATTATGACCAATATCCCAGCCGATTTCTCTGCCAGGTATCATGCCAGTTCTCTCTCATACCCACTAACTTATATTTCTATACAATTTTATAAATATTTAATAAACATTTTAACTCAAAAGATCTTCAAGCACCTATGTACTGTAGATTATATAAATTTAATATTTTATTACAATGAATTACAATCTATGTTTCTTTATCCAATGGAAAATACACCTTTTGGCAAACGTATTGCTCATATTCCAAAAAGCAGTTGCCATTTCATTTCAGTTAAAATATTTACTGCTTGACTTAAGACTATTTAAGACTGTTAAGGTTTCTGTTAAAAAAATAAACCTTACTCTCCAAAGTCAGGTGCTGCCCTCTTTGCCCATTGTAGCTAACAGAAATTGAGGTCATTCAGTATCTTGATTGTGCTTTATACCTAGTTCCACAAGAGGCATGACGGCAAAAGCCTTCCCCAAAATACAAATAATAATTAGCCTCATCTTTCTAACACTACAAAAAGAGACTGGATTATCATCATCATGCTGCTGTGGATTAAGACCTAAACAGAACTACCTGAACCCCAAAAATCATGTGCATTGCTACCAAAAACCAATTAGAAAGTTAAGAAAAGTTATGGTAAATGTATTTTTAAAACTCATAATCTTATTAAACTAGAAGAGATAGTGCCATGCCTCAACATTAGGCTTCTCACTCAGACATATAAAGACCATCATTGGACATCTGAACTTTGAGCTTATGTTTCCAGAAAACAATTAATAACTACACAAACTGCATCAATATACCTTAGCATTTTTTTTTAGAAAGCAAAACAAACACAACTCCCATATTCTAAACTAAAAAAAAAAAAAAAAAAAACATTAAACTTAAGGAATGCAGCCATTAGAGTAATAGTAATCAACTTGCATCTAATTTCTATTTTATCTTACATGTTTTCGCATTATCAAGCATTGACATTATGGTCAAAATTTCTTAAAAATAGGTTAGCCAGGTAAATATACAATTTTTAGATCAATTCCCTTACAAACTCCTACCTGGGATATGAAAGCCTTCTTAAGCTCTTCCCTCACAGATTACTATCATTGCTGAAGTCCAGAGTTCTAACTTGACTAAATTATTTAATCTTATTACTTCTAAGCAGTGTGTGGAACAATAAGTAAGCATTTTTCTCATAATAAGAGGAAGAACAGACTCCAACTTTGTTATACTACAGCATCAATGAAAATATAAATAATAAAAGGTACTCAGCAAAGTTGCACAAAACCATATTTAAATTTCTAGCTTTCCCCCTCTTTTCATAATAAAATTAAATGCTACTGGATGTTCCGTATACACAAGAGAGAGACCTGTATACACAAAAATTATACAGATATTTGATATTATTTTTAAATAAAAGTATATGCGCTACGTTGAAAGATTACAAAGTACCTTGTTCACTGATTATTGACATTTCCCTTGTTAAACACTGAGGCAAGCAGTAATTTGTTTCAATCTGCTTTTCTACAATGAATAGTGTTAAGATTCTCAGCAAATTATCAAAGCATCACATAATTCTGTAAATAATGTATAATTTAACATATTACGAATGGACTCATTTACAGGAAAAGTATGTAGCATACTGTATTTCAAAATCTTGATATTATGTATTAGTCACAAGACAGAAATCCTGCTGCATCTTGACTTCCACTGGGCCTCGGCCCCTACAATTGCTATAGCACAGGGAAGTCTCATTGGTGAACCCCAAACAGGCTGAAGCAAGACAGGTGTGCAAAACTCTTCGCTTTTCCAAGATAGCAATGTCCTGGGGCATGTGATAAAATCTGGCATCCAAGTAAACTCATTGACAAAGACTTAGGCTCTTACAGCCTTAGGGCACACAAACCAAGATCCAGAATTTTAGGAATCATGTAACTGAACTTGTGGAACCTTATCCTAAGTTCCATCCAAGTGTCTTCACACTTTTTTGGGGCTAGTTTTTAAGTTCCTCCTCCTTTGCACTCATACGTACATTATAAATGTTCAGTGCTGGCAACACCAAAAGAAATACAGAACTTACAACCGCAGATGTGGTTATAACGGAATGTCAGAAGTGGCTACTGTTGGAGTCAGTGAAGTAAAAAGTAGACTTCAAAGTTAACATAGCTGGATACGTTTCCAATATTTTCCAAAGAGCTGCTTTTAAACATTCATGTCAAAGTGGACATTTTTACATAATGCTTAATGGTAGATAACTTAGTATCTTAAATGATTCTTTGAAGCTTAGAATATTACAAAGCATTCTAATTCTGCAATAAAATCCAGTTGTTTCCTCTATTTTTCCTCATAAAAATCTTCAAGAACAAGCTCCACAAAAAAGAATCCCCAAGTGAGCACACAAATTTAGAATTTCAGCATTAAAAGAAAAAAAAAAATTACTACTATTTTTATACAGAAAGATAAGCATTGCAAAAAACAGATAAAACAAAGCACTTCAGTATTTTTGAGCAGTTTCACAGATGTTGACGGATAATATTGTCATATTTAACAATATATGGAGAAACTTGAAGTTTATTCTTGCATATGTAAAATTTATATTATTTAATAATACTGAAAACTTTAATATCTTTGCTATACAAAAGGCTTTCCCACATGAAAAAAATTCCTACAAATCAATTTCACCACAACATCTACCTGCATAAGCCCTTTTAACCTGCAGCATCATGCAACAAATGTAAGCTAATTAAGGTGGCTTATCCACTGACATATAGAAAAGGAAAAGTCTACTTCATATTTGCCATAGAAAGCATATGGTCAAGGTTAGCACTAAACAGCTGACAGACAGAACTCGCTACCCTTCTGCAATTTGTGCAAAGCCTGGATAACAGAACAGAAAGTATCGAGCTTTAAACATTAAGGCTTGCGTTGAGACTCTTGACTTAATTCATGAGGACCCATCAAAAACCTCCTTCACCACACAGAAAATTAGCAAAAGATGTTAAAATTGCAGAACTAAAAAAGGAAATACAAATCCGTAAGCCAAAACCATCATTAACCTTTTTTAATCTTTTTGTTTTCTTTCTCCAGCAGAACTACAAGTCAGAAAAAGCTTGTTTGCATATGCGTCTGCACATAATTATTACAATTATTCTGCATTTATAATATGCTACATAGGATGTACAAGGTCTTCTCTTAGACAAAATAGCTTGCTGACAGAAGGCTAGCACCCACTTACCTTAAACGGAACTCGTTATCTGTATGCAGATTACCAAACATACCAGAGCCTGTAACCCCCCCAAATGCAAGAGAGCTTTAATTCATACAACTAGCATTAAAAAAATTAAAATACTCTCAATACATTCTCAGTAAGTTACTTTAATATCTCTTGTTTACTTAATTGCCTAATTTTAGAAGAAAAATTCAAATCTGAGGGAGACACAAGTGCAGAAAGCATTTTCTGAAGTCTCAGATGCCTATGTTGCATCTTGTAGGAGAAGGTGTAAGAAACCAACAAGCAGGTCTTGCCTTCATTAGCCTCATCTTTAGGAATCCACCCTAACTGACCATATGAAAGACAGTATTTAATATATCTCATTCTGCTCTGCCATCATTAATTGATCATAACTGTACAGGGAAAATAGTATGCAACTGTGCAGAATGACTGAACTGTATACAACAGCTTTCCCCAGCTCTCAAATACTAATCAAATAATGTTTACAATATAGGTGGTTTCTCTCCCCCATTTAACTACTACGAAATGAAAGGAAAATCCTTCTAAGGCTTCAATGCATTTGTCTTCCACCCCTCCACCCAACTGTAACCTATATGAATAACTGTCATAAAAAATAATTTTCTTCTAAGGTCAGTCAATGGAGATCAACTAATAATGCAAAATCACCATAAAATGAAACCCATAGGTGATAACACTTATTCGCTGACCTTGAAACAAATTTCAAGAGTGAAAGATTGAACACACTCTTCAAAAAAGCTCATTTTTTGAGGGAAAAAAAAAAGTTGCTGCAGTAAGAATTTCAACAGATACACAAACAATTTTCTGTTTATTCTATTCAATTCTAAGTTATTTTATATATTATGAGGTTTATGATTTTTGTCCCCTCATATAAAACACTGTCATACTTTCAACTTAAATATTGTTGAAGGTGGTCACAGAAATCTGGGGTTCAAACCTTGCATGAGTTCTCAGTCATTTCAGATATTTTTCAGATATATGGGTATTAAGGATTTTTTTTCTTTCTTTACATTAGTATCACAAAGAAGCAAGCAAGAACTTATGCTACAAAGGTTAATGCAGTATTTTGTTTGAAGGTTGTAAATGTCTACTGAAGACTGGCAATTAATACATCAAACATTTACCAACACTAGACAATGGCAAAGCAAAACATCCTGCCTATTTCTAAAAATGATGGCCAAACAGGAAGATTACAACTTTAGTCACAGATATTTACTTCTGCAGCTCTGTAAAATTTAATGTAAATGACCTGTAAGGAATATGAAGGCAGCTAATGAAAGCTCAGTTTAACATAAAATCACTAAATTTTCATTCTTTACTAGCTGCAAAACCTAGGAAGTTCCTGTCACTTAAACAATATATATTCTACATCAAAAACATAGTTTGCTACTAATTTGTTCATATTTTAAATTCTCAAACCAAAAAACTGTAGGTAGAAAACAGCAGCTTTGCGTTCTGAAATAATTATACTAAAATA